ACGCCACTGACACAGTGAATCTCTGATATCTCACATCAGGGATAAGCTGGAGGCAAAATAGTTGTCCAGCTAGTATATAGACATTTCTCAATTCATATATTTTTTCCTATATACCAGGGACACTTACTCATGCTATACCCTCCATTTTTTTCTTCGTTTTTCTAGCTATATTCTGGAATTTGGAACATCGAATATGCTCTCTTTTTTTTTCATCTCCCGGTTTTCCTGGAAATGACATCAACTTTCGATTTTCATATGGAACACCCCATCTTCTCATTCCATAATCTGTTAGAGATCATTATAACGAATTAAACAATACCGGGTTCAATTAAGTTATTTGAAACCGAAGATATTCGCGTTCGAAGTTTCCATAAGCTCAATAAGTGTGACAGAGAGAAAAGTTTCGATATTGCGCCGTCACACCCATTGAGTTTATGGTGAAGTTTATGCAGAGACTGTTGGAAAAACATATCACCGCAAGCCGACGGTCCCTTTGAAAGTTCAAAGAGTGCGGCAGCGCGGCCAGACATTCGTTGATGATCTGTTCAGCTGACTTTGCATAAACTGTAACTCCGTAATCGTTGGAAAAATCCCAATCAAACACGGTTGTTGAATTCGTTATAATGATCTCTAACCGATTATGGAATAAAATTCAGGGTGTTCCATTTGAAAATCAAGAGTTGATGTCATTTCCAGAAAAACCGGAAGATGAAAAGAATTTCCTAAAATGCGAGAAAGTGACCTCTAGTTAACATAGGTAGGTATTCGATATTCAAAATTTCAAGAATATAGCTATAGAAAACCAAAGGAGAAAAGGCGGTATACCATGAGTCTGAGAATCAGAAATTCATTCATGCCTATTCAATCATATATAATATTTATAATGAGACTGTTGTCTCAGAGTTCAAGAGGGTGGGTAAAATTCATCAAAAATATTGCCAGCCATATGTATGAAAACAACCCTCGAATGTACAGATTATGGTAGGTGAAGGGCCAACAGGTTTTCATATTTGCCATCCATTTTTGAAAAAAAAGGGTTTGACATCATCAGATCATGACATGATATTCATCAGCCTTAGAATGATTCCATCACTATTGAAAACAAACGCACATACCCATAATATATGATAATATTCATTTCCTATATACAATGAAGAACCCTTGAGGCGGAGCCAATTTAATTGGCAAGTAGTACCCCAAGGATCAGTTATTGGTCCAACCCATATGTACTCATGATTTACATAAACTATACGTTGTCCCGGAACTTTGGCATACAGCACAGAGCAGAGCACTTTTATAAACGATGTCGATCTATTCAACTGAGAAAAGAGGTGATAGAAATTTCTAGTCCCATTAGTTAGGTACCTTAGCGTATTGATTTTTCTTCTGAGCAATATAACAAAATCATTTAGAAGACTATAGATACACAGAGCATGTAAAACCATCAATTCAAAGAAGAAGATGGATCGTCACACTTCACTTCAGGAATAAACTTGAAAGCAATTATCTAATAGAGTGATTCAAAATTCAATAATACATAAATATGATATAGTTGATACTCATTTGGATGGCTTTATGTTCATATATAATCTCCAGGAATCTAGCCACAATAATGAATTATATCTAACCTCCGAGTTGAAAAGGGTACAACAAGAAACAAACATGATTCGATAAGCGAAACGAATCTCTCAAGGTATACTGAGTTTCTTGAAAATGAATATCAATAACCATGCACACCAGATTGCACTTATTTCATTATAGCATAGTCGTTTATTTGGGAAGAATCAATGCGATAGAATAAATCGCAGACCTCCGTAGGTAAAGTTATGCCTGTTAGTGGCGGTATATTTGTTGATATCCTTCTGATCATTCCATCATAGAAAATTCTCATTGAATTTCCAATTCCAAAGTGATGTAAAGGCTGATCAATTTAGTGCTTCATGATCTTGAATGAAAGGATAGCCTATTACAAAACATCATAGATCATTTACAGGCACAAGAACGTAGTAAAATTCTGAAAAATAATAATAAAGGCAGTGTTAAGTTGAAGAAACCTGGCTCGGATTACGTTCACGTTATCTTCGATCATCATTCACCATGTGAGCAAACACATTGCAATTCTGTGCAGAAGTTTGAAGGTGAGTTCACATCAGTGATGGATCCACCAAGAGCAAATCCAGTGAGAAATGTCAGAGATCCAGTCAATATTGAAGCTAAGAGACAAGGTGTTCGAGATAAACCAAATATGTCTGATATAGACGTCGTTTGCAGCATTAACTGGATCTCATCACCTCATCAACTTGAGAAATTTCACGGCACGATTTGTGCATTGTATTCGTACAATATTCATCTCGTACAAGAGATGAAGCCTGATGAGGATCGTCGTTGATTTTAAAACTTAATTGTCATTGCATACTCTCCCAAATGAAACATTTTTGCCACCAGCCGACAATTTCCTTGTGTTTGATTTCATTTCCATAGCTACAGCACTAAACTGATCACCCTTTATATGTGTTGCTAATAGCCAGTACAGTGATTTGGCGATGGAAATCCTTGTATATATAGGTATCAAATCAAATCATTTCAAGCCATACCGAAATAACTGAAACACAGGAGTCGAAATTTGTGCGGGGTTTGGAAGAAAAGGACAAATACAGCTTATTGTGGAATCCGAACCACTTCTATAGTCATATATATTAAGAATTATAAGGTAAGCATCCTATATGTCTATGACAGAGCTGCGCCAGACGAATTTTGTCATCAGATTTTTCTGCAGAATCTGCTTTATTCTCCTTCTCGCTGTTTTCTGGAGAATTCGGGGATGAATTTCTTCAATTTTGATTTTGTGCATCAATGTTCCGAAGTGCCTCTGATGCATCGAAATCGAAGTACATGCCTAGATATATCCACTGACCGTTTATTCACATCTGCGAAATTCATTGATCATTGATGGAATTTGCTATAACTTTGGTTGCTGTCGGTTGCTGTCTTTCCATAAGCTTCACCCAGAAGTTTCTCAATTCAGGTCCACACACAAAATGTCTCAGTAGTATGAACCTTGTTCGAGAAATCATGTACACAATTTTGACCGATACAACAAAATTTGAGTCCTTGACGAAAAGCTTCACTCAATAATGAGAATTTTACCGTGTACCGGTACAATTTAGACGAGCAATAGATGGTACCATTTGAGACACTGAGAGTACCTATATTCATTTCAAACGATGGTTTGCAACTGTTCCAACATGTGAATATGTATTATTGAATAAAGTTTGAGTATCAAGTAACCAGAGTATTATAAATAATATCCTGTAACATTCTGACTTTCTCAAGAGAAACTATGGAAAACTTGGGCATTCAAAAAATCAGTCACCAACGCATATTCCTCGGTTTTTGTTTACTAAACTTTCATGGTGTTAGATCAATCACACAAAATACACAGATGGCGCTAATAGTTTGCTGCTCATGAAATACAGCGACGGTACAATTCGAGAGCCAGGACAATATCGGCCTAATAGGTATACATGAATTGCCAGGAGAGTTATGCGTTACAAATGCTGGGCCGATGATTAGTGTTATCTGCGAGATGGATGGAATATGTGTAAAAACTTGCAAACATTGTGCAAAGTACCCCAGTAGACGAAATGTTATAATGAGAATTATCTCAACCTCATTGAGCTTTGTTATTCCTTGTAAAGGATGGAACGGAACAAGCTAGACAAGAATAGAGAGTTTTTGGTTGCCGACCAGCCTGATCAACCGGTTGTTAATGTCACGTGACTGATCACAATGACAAATATGATGGGTTTCGATCGGTCGCTTGTGTACAAAAACGGCAAAAACATTTGAAACCGTGAACTTCACTGCTCAATCGATAATATACCGCAATAAACACATTCTGATATCCTAAAAGTCAGATATAACATCAGGAATCATATCTTTTATCAGGCATTGAGTTCCTCGAGATAAATTCTCTCTGAACTGTCTATACCAGAAATATTTTGCTCAGATGAATCACGAAGTGATGTAACCCTATGTTTGTTAAATTATAAGCAGTTTGAGTTATTCATTTTGAAGACTGTAGATACCCTTGCCAGTTTTCGAAAATCACGTGAGATCAATTGCTAAAAGTGCATCCCAGCAAAAACTTGGTTTTCTGTTTCGGGCCAGGAGCTATTTCACTTCCAGTCAGCTGCTTATGATATTAGGCACAGATCCGACCTGTCCTGGAATACTGTTACCATATTTGGAGTGCAGCACCCAAACATACCCTGAAACTGTTGGAATCTGTCCCAAAAAGGGCAATTCTTCTCGTGGGTGATGCATCGCTCACAAACTCAGTCACTTCTCTGGAACACCGTAGAAAAGTTGGCGATCTGGCTCTATTATATAGATATTTTCATGGACGATGCTCTTCTGAAAAATCAACATTTGTTCCTTCCTTGGCAGTCCCCGCGAGATTAACCCGTCGAGTTGAGGCTTCGCACCCCTTCGTGGTCACTTTGGACACCTGCAGAACATATCTTTCCAAAGACTCCTACCTACAGAAATTCGAGAAGAACACCAATTCCTACTTTATTTCCCTTGGTTCTCACGATGTTCTCTGAACATTATAGGATATCCCTAGTCGTGGGAACCAGAACATAAAAACAAAAATATTTTATATCCTTGAACCACATCGACCATCAAATGCCCAGGCGATGTGGTCTTGGTCTTCAATAAAAAACGTTTCCGAAGTGTATTGAGTAGAGTGTGTACCGAGGTGTGTACCTACAGAAACTTCAATCATCATTGGTAACCTTAGGAATGCAACAATTCAATTCGGAATTCGGAACTATCTATAAACAAATACGATCTAGATCCGGATAGGATAGCGTATGACCCTTCCTGCGCGCTTCTAGGTGTCCCCCGAGACCCCTCTCCGCAGTAGGCGTGGCCTATCGAACCGCGCGCGCTATGCGCTAACCAGCCGCCGCGCCAGACCATCGCAAGTGCGCGTACTCTGCGCCAACATCGCTATGCTGCGCCGACCGTACGCTACGTAACCGCCGATCAGCAGTGACATGCGCGCGATCTGTCGCCGATCGCTGGTTGTACGCTTTTTTGCGCGTTCGTTCGTTCGGCCCTAAGATCTAGTGCGCCGCGCAAAGACAATCGCCCTTCGAACTGTGCAATTGACATTTTGACGCGAGTGCATCTTCCGTCTATGACTTGGAGTGGCGCGATTGACGCGGAACTGTCTCGAGTGGTTATTGCCGGCCGGGGGATTGATTGGTGACAGGTGCCGACGGTGACGGATCGAAGCTGTCAAATAAGTCCCGAGCTGGGGGTTTGCCGCCACTGCAGATGGGAGTGTTTGAAGAGAGGCCTTCTTACACCCCCGGGATGCATTGGGTAAGACACTCATTACTGTTATGTAACAAATCCAGGAAATTGATATAGGCATTCAACCACCTGTCAATGTCATGCAAGCATGTCAGACTGGTTGTAGCTTATTCAGCAGTACTCTCGAAGGTACTGGATCAAATGAACGGTGGACACATGAGAATTGTTTTTCAACCTGTTTTAATATATCTGTACAATTCAGGCGTTGAGAAGCTGATGAGAGGTATGTCATGCTACTTCTAACATCAGAATCCAATTGAGCCGAATGATTGATCAAACATACCTATTACCTAAGCCACGATAGTCCCGACATGCGTTATACATAAGCATAAACCCAAAGCGAGACCCAACGTTGTTTAAGCCTTGAAGACTATCCTAGCACTCAGTATGGTAATAGTGATGTGAGATGTGATGATTTGCATTTGTAAAAAATCTATCTAATCTCTTTTAGAAGTTCATGTTTGCCCAAAGTGGAGTGGAATATTCCGAAGTAAAGGAGGAAAGCTGGAGATGGCTTTGAGCGTCCCTTCTTCCCTTTGAAATATCCGACGAAATTGTATATCTGAATTTGCTTGCAATATAAGTATAGGTGACTACCGGTTCCTTATATAGAGTACCTACCTATATGATCCGATTTTTCATTTAAATCTTGAAACGAGTACCCGAGTGAGTACCTATATCCTTTTTTATATGTGAATGTTGATACGTTTTACCCGAGGTTTTACCCTCGGATTTACTCGATGTCATGTTCATGACGGTCGCATTAAACGGCAAAGCTTCGAAATTCTTTGCCAGTGGAAGAATTCCCAAGATCTTAAAATCTCCAAGAGTTCGAAAAAAATTCCAACACTTACCTCCATTACCTATCCACTATACGCACGATGTTCTTCGAACATCATAGGAATTTCCTGTCCTGCGTTTTAAGAGCTAAAAAATTATGTGATTATTGAAATCACATTTATTTCAGCATATTCATCAGTATACTTATCTCCAACGCACCAACAGATTATAGGTATTGGAATAACAAGTCATCGTCTCTACATATTCAATTTTTTTATACTTATACGGGTGGGTGAGTACACTAGGAGAATTTATTGTCAATACATTATATATATATTATGGCTTAGATTAACTCGAGAATTAACTCAATAGAACCAGGTGCACATGGCAATGGAATATTCGTGATTATAGATTCAACTAAGTATTCATTATGAAAATATATTCTGAACAATCTGAGGAAAATCATTGAATCATTCCATCCCATTCCATATTGTCCATTAATAGTACTGATGCTCGTACTGATGGTTCAGAATGAGTGATCTAACTGGTTGGAAAAGCTTCAGATGTATATTGTTTGATAGTGGAATATAGGTACTTACTGATTGCTGTAATCAACACCTGACTATATTCACCAAATTTCATGGACTATGCAATTTGAGATGCAATCCATATACCTATTTTTGCGTATTTCTTTGAATAGGCGAATGTTTCAGATTGAGAAACGTTTCATGTATGCAGCTTTTCGTGACGCTCCATCGCTCCACACCAAAATCTGGCTCGGCGACGTTCCAATCGTCAAATTTCACAGAATTATCGTGAAGTCAACAAAAACCGATCATGAAGGGACGATTCACGCGCCGCACTGACTGAAGAGAAGAACAGTTGAATCGTATAATAACAAGTGGAAGAGAGATAATTGCATAATGGTAATTTGAATGTCATACCGTTTAGTTCGGGGTTTCAATAAAAATATTCACACTATGCTTTGATAATGTTTTGGAAATTGCGCGTAGCCCTTGTCAAATGATTCTTCGAGAGAATTTAACGAGCTATATAGAAGAAGAAGATAAGAAGCACAGAAAATTCTAAGAGGTATTCAAGATAACTGGATTACATTCAATGATTTCTTTCTAGACATCAAGATGCCAGTCAAGATGCTTCAATTCACTCACTCAAGTACCATTTTTTACACCAATATATTTTTTATTTCTGCTGGACTCTTTATTTTGATGATTAAATAGTATCAAACATGCAAGTTTTTGGATTCATCGATCACATCGTGAAACAAGATACACGAAAATAAAATTCTTTGGTGTCCGAGTGTAGAAGTGCCTTAGAAAATATGGCAAAAACTGGAAAAGTCAGCCTCATGTGGGTTCCAGGACACTCTGGTATCCCGGGGAACGAGGAGGCAGACAGACTAGCCAAGATCGGTTCTGGAACGACACCCATTGGACCAGAACCGATATTGGGAATACCCAATAGTACGGCTATGTCCTTCATGAAGGAAATGCTACAGAGGCAGTTCCTTGAAACATGGCGGGACACACCAGGAATGAGACAATCAAAGCTCAATATGAAAAAACCTTCAAAAAGGCTCACGAGAGAGATCCTGTCACTTAATAGAAGGGATCTCAAGATGGTAGTTGGGCTCTTAACTGGGCACAATTACCGCAACAGGCACCTAGAACTCATAGGTATCAAAAATGATCCCATCTGCAGATGGTGCTTGGAGGATGATGAAACATCATCACACATACTCACTGAATGCCCCGCGCTGGTGCATCAGAAGAAAGCTGCCTTTGGGAGCATTGTACTGCACCCAAAGGATGTGAAAGGACAAGTGGGCGCACAATGGGCCCGACTGAAGAGGCCTGAGTGCAGGGGTCTACTCACCCGCCCACCTGTGCAGAGAAGAAAAAGAAGAAGAAGAATGAAAATCTTGAAGAAATGAAGGAATGGAATGTGCGTGTAGTTTGGCATGGAACTTCGCTCCGGAAGTGACGCGCTAAAAATAGGAACGCACGCCAGGAATCTGGAAAAAACTGCACGTGAAGGGACTACTTGAGAAGTAGCTAGGTACATCAGATTATCATACATCTAGATTGATTCACATAAGTGATATTCTTCTAATCTGAACCTCGATCTGAACCGAGATTTGGAATATTACTCACTATAACTATACTAACTGGAATTTTCCACTAGAACTGATGAATTAAATCAGTCAACATGATGTGTTCTTTTGAAAGACTCAAATTTGATAGAATGTATATCTATGTATATGATAACTGATTCAGTTAAGTTCACGTTCATCAGTTCAAGTGAAATACTTCAGTTAGTTTAGAACTCGGTTTAGAAGGAAAGAATATCACAATAGGTAAGAATAAAGATAGAGATCAAGGACACGAGTATCAGAATAATTTGAGCTGATCTGTGTCGACATCAGGTTTCTGATGAATATTCTTTAGGGACTGCGATATACTCAGATAAATTCTGAGCACGAATCTTTTAGGAGTTTTAGGTATAAAATGAGTGGACCATGGTTAAAAGCTCGGCTAAAAGAAAACTATACTATTAACTTTTGTGTCATTCATGTATAATATAATTGGAGAGATTCGAAAACTAGGCCTCCCGCCAGAAACAAATTTCTATGCGCATGTGCGGCGTCTTCATGGTTACAAGAGATGAGTCGAGATGAGTACTTCTACCTCGACTTCTACCTAGATGGATTTATCGTGGGTTTATCTCCGCTTCAAGCTTCAACCGAGGTTTCAACCACTCCACTTCACTTGGCCAATTTCAAATGATCAGAAATATTGTTTTTTCAGTTTCATTATTGAATTCGATCAGCTGAGGACCTACTGATCTGAGTAGTCAACAACATATGCATCTTCTCATTATGAATATGTCACAGAAATACTATCACAATTTTTGCGAATAGTGCAAGAATGTTTTTTCAGTGTAGATGGAAGGGAAATGTGCTTGGAGATGTGTATCCTTCCTAAGTTCATGCAGGCGGGGTACAAGCTTATTCCTAATTCCCATCAAAATAAATGTCACTCAAAGTTTCACTCCGTTTTGTACTCGGTTTTGTAGTTATTCACAATTTCAACTGGGAATTTGATACAGCCTTTATTTTCTGACAACCAAGTCTAATTTCTTTTTGGTTTGTTTGACTGAACTCCTATAAGCTGTATGATATATCAAAATTTTAGTAGTAGTAATATGCTGAACAATGGTGGATAGGTATACAAAGCAAATGGCATTGCTCCTTCAATGGCTGAAGCCTCGGGATATAATCTTGGTCCCTGCATGGGTAATACTGATATCCTTCACCACCTTGGTGTATAAATAACTATATTGAAATGAAATGAAATGAAAATTTATTCACCTTGATAAACATACAAAGTACAAATGGTAAGTCACAAATAGGAACATTGTTCCATACACAAATACTACATTAAAATGAAAACTATATATAAAAAGTGTGTGGAACTATTATGAATTAAAATGATCATTGATCAAAACTAAACACGTGCTGTTTGGCTATTATTTGAAAATTCTTTCACAGAATGAGAAGACTTTTGTTGGAAAAATGTTTTCACGCCACTCTTAAATGAACTGTAGGTGGTTTTGATTTGATGTCATCTGGTAGAGCATTATAGAAGATGATGTAATTGTGAACGGGAGATTTTCGAAAGGTACTTGTTTTGTAAGTAGGTACTCGAAGGCTTTTGGTTCTTGTGTTGTAATCATGGATATCAGACTGATGTTGTTGTAAGTTAATTAGGTATTTTCTGGTAAAATTGACACACTTTATGATGTAAATAGATGGTACTGTTAATATTCCATATTTTTTGACTATTTTTCGACAACTTGCACGATATTCCAAATCGTAAATCAGTCTTACTATTCTCTTTTGCGATAAACTCTGTTGAAATCATTAGCACTTCCCCAAGATATTATATTGTATGTAAGATGACAGTAAGCAAATGCATAGTAAAGGTTCATTAGAGTTTCTTTTTTGAGATAAGATTTCATTTGTTAAATTCTATAGAAAGCTTTATTAAGTTTATCGCATACATGATTGATATGATGATCAAAGCTCAAATCAGAGTCGAGCCAAGTACCTAAAAGTTTAGCATGTGTTGTAAAAGGGAAAAGAAACTTTTCTTTGATCGAATTGGGCAACGTTTTATGAAGGTGAAAATTCACACACGCTGTTTTCT